TATACTACTGATGAGCCTCACACATTCTCTAAGTGCGTATTTTCCAAGAGCACAGGTTTTCCTACACCACAGACAAGTGTAATGAATCATCAAGACTACATATTCTTGATTTATAACTTGGTGACAGTATAAGAAAGAGAAATTCCTTACTTCTCCCCATAGCCATCTGTCTGGGTCACTGGGGTCAAATCTCATTTATTAAAGGCCTCTGCGGTCCTGGATCTCTGGGAGGTGCCAAGTTGACCCTGTTCATTATCCTATCCTCCTGACCACATGGACAGGTTTCTTTCATTTACTCTGCTGACACTGGGTGCTTCTCTGGTTTTTATTTCCACCTCAAAACCAATGACTGACAAACCTAGTCATTGGTTTCCACTCCTAAGCTTACCCCTGAGCCTTGGACCTGTGTACACCCTACTCCATCTGCCCCAGAACATCTCCCCTATGCAGCACCTCAACTCACCATGGCCTTCCTGCTCCTTCTTGGTGCCACATCCCTGTCCAGGCCCAGGCAGATCCTCAGGGATTCTCAGCTCCTCCACTTCCCTACTTCCTCTCACCATCTGATCCCTAAACCTTGCCCACCCTCACCCCAGTCCAGACTCCCACCCATTGATTCTTTTTTAAAGTATAGTTGATATACAATATTATATTGGTTTCAAGTATACAACATAATGACTCAAGGGTTACATACATTATTAAACCCTCACCCCAATTAATGTAGTTACTATACCACTGACTTCTTTAAAAAAAATTTTTTTATTGAAGTATCATTGATATACAATCTTACATTGGTTTCAAATGTACAACATAGTGGTTCAACAGTTACCCATATAAATCTTCACCCCCTCTAGTGCAGTTACTATCAACATAAAAAGATGTTACGAGTCATTGATTATATTCTCCATGCTGTACTACTGTCCCTGTGACCAACTTATACTGTGTGAATTATTAAAGGTGCCCCTTTACCCCCCTCCCCCACCCCACCCACCCACCCAGCTCCTCTCCCTTGGTAACCACCAGTTACTTCTCAGTGTCTATGAATCTACCGCTGTTTACATCCCTGGCCCTTTAGAGAAAATATTTACTGACCTCTGGTGTAGGGTAGGGGTCACCAATTGAAAAGCCCCAGCGGCCAGATGGTCACATCCACGTGTTGCAGTCTGGGCGTAACAGGGAGCAGGGAGGTTTGTGGCATGAAGATGGCCAGTGAGCAACCCCAGCTTAGGGAAAGGAAATGAGCCTGAAGGTATACTACTGATGAGCCTCACACATTCTCTAAGTGCGTATTTTCCAAGAGCACAGGTTTTCCTACACCACAGACAAGTGTAATGAATCATCAAGACTACATATTCTTGATTTATAACTTGGTGACAGTATAAGAAAGAGAAATTCCTTACTTCTCCCCATAGCCATCTGTCTGGGTCACTGGGGTCAAATCTCATTTATTAAAGGCCTCTGCGGTCCTGGATCTCTGGGAGGTGCCAAGTTGACCCTGTTCATTATCCTATCCTCCTGACCACATGGACAGGTTTCTTTCATTTACTCTGCTGACACTGGGTGCTTCTCTGGTTTTTATTTCCACCTCAAAACCAATGACTGACAAACCTAGTCATTGGTTTCCACTCCTAAGCTTACCCCTGAGCCTTGGACCTGTGTACACCCTACTCCATCTGCCCCAGAACATCTCCCCTATGCAGCACCTCAACTCACCATGGCCTTCCTGCTCCTTCTTGGTGCCACATCCCTGTCCAGGCCCAGGCAGATCCTCAGGGATTCTCAGCTCCTCCACTTCCCTACTTCCTCTCACCATCTGATCCCTAAACCTTGCCCACCCTCACCCCAGTCCAGACTCCCACCCATTGATTCTTTTTTAAAGTATAGTTGATATACAATATTATATTGGTTTCAAGTATACAACATAATGACTCAAGGGTTACATACATTATTAAACCCTCACCCCAATTAATGTAGTTACTATACCACTGACTTCTTTAAAAAAAATTTTTTTATTGAAGTATCATTGATATACAATCTTACATTGGTTTCAAATGTACAACATAGTGGTTCAACAGTTACCCATATAAATCTTCACCCCCTCTAGTGCAGTTACTATCAACATAAAAAGATGTTACGAGTCATTGATTATATTCTCCATGCTGTACTACTGTCCCCGTGACCAACTTATACTGTGTGAATTATTAAAGGTGCCCCTTTACCCCCCTCCCCCACCCCACCCACCCACCCAGCTCCTCTCCCTTGGTAACCACCAGTTACTTCTCAGTGTCTATGAATCTACCGCTGTTTTCGTTCCTTCTGTTTTGCTTAAAAATATGGAATGCTTCACAAATTTGCATGTCCCGCCTTGCGCAGGGGCCATGCTAATCTTCTCTGTATCATTCCAATTTTAGTATACGTGCTGCTGAAGCGAGTACACTATCCCACTGACTCTTATAAAAGCCTTCCTGTAGGTTCTCTGACCTCGGTCTCTAATCAAGCCCCTGGTTATCCGTCTCAACCTAGGTCTAATAACGTCACTTCTCAGACTTCACCATGGCTGTGTGGGAGCAGCACTGGCTCTGCTCAGACATACTTGGGTTTGAAATTCTTGGCTGTGCCTCTAGCTTGCTGTGAGTACTTAGGCAAGTCAGTTGGCCTCTCTGGGCCTCCTTTTGCTCGGTGAAACTTCCTGCATTAGGGACTTAGGATAAGGTGCACAAAGCCCCCTCGCACAGTGCCAGGAATATCTGAGGTGGTCTACAACAGCATCACTGACTTTGCTGGTGGCGGTAGTTAGTATTTAGTGACAGTATTCCTATGCCTGTAGGTTCAAGTTCCAATGCCTTAGAAGGGATAAAGCGTCTTTCAGGTTAGGAGGAAGCAGATCTGCCTGCCCTCTTTTTGTGTTGTGGCACTCCCCATACTCAACACTCGTGGCCTCTCTGCCCTCTTTTGGTGAGCTCAGGAGCGGGAGCTAGCCTTGTGCAGCCTGGCCTTTCTGGGTCCTGTCTGAAATCTGGTGCCTGTTGATGGAGCAGTACTCTGCTCTGCTTTCCTGGCCACATGAAAGCTCTGTGAGGCAGGCCCTGTGAGTGCAGGGGGGGGCCACCTCCAGGGCCTCAGGAGTCAGCCACCCTGCCTGGGCGTCAGTGAGTCTCATTCAGGGCGCAGGCCTCGGGGGTTGGCCGCTGCGCCGTCCAACAACACGAGCTCTCAGATCTTCATCTGTCTGACTCCTGTGAACATTTCCCATGGTAGGAAAAGGGCTGTTACCTACTGGCACTCTGTCCCACCAAACCTACCCTTGCTGGCAGCATGTGTGGTCTTATCCTCGGCCCCTTACACACCAGGTAGGACTTGCTCCTAGTCCCTAAATGCCCCAAGCACTTGCCTGCCTCTTTCCTGGGTCCCCGCTGTGCTCAGCCTGGAATACCTCTCCGTCCACGTGGAAATGTTCCCTCGTGCTACACCTTCAGGTCCCCGCCCTCCACATCCCCTCACACCCACCATGGTGCTCTTAGCCCTTCTAAGAGTGATGAAGACACTCATGGTGACACAGCGAACTTCTCACACTTATGGCGCAGGAGCGGGCACAGGAGGTACTTACTGGTGCTGGATGCTCAGAGGGCAGTTCCCGTGAGTCCGCTGCACTGACACTCACACACACTGTCTCCTGCCCCCATGGCCTCATGATCTGTGTAAACCCCGGGTGAGCAGGGGTTTCCCTCCTCACATCTACCTCCTGCTCCTTTCTCTCTCTCTCCTTATTCAGCGTATTCGTATTTACATTATTATTTTAAAAGCACACAAGGTCACATCTGTCTAAACGTGCAACCCCACAGGCCAGCTGAGAAAGGCCTGCCTGGGCTGACACCAGGAGGACCTCTGTCCTGAGCAGAGAGCAAGCTCATGCTCCCTGCTCAGCTCTGCCGGAAGCTGAACCCTAGAGAAGCTGAACCCTGAACCCTTTCAGCAGGTCCCTCTGAAAGGAGAGGGTCGAAGGGCCTGGCTCCCAGTCAGCTAACCCCTGACACTGCTGATGTTTGCACGCTGGCTTACAGATGCTTGGGTGGGGGCTTTACTCAGGGGTGGGGTGGGGAACACATTTGACCCTCACCCCTTGTTGCTGACTCTGTGCCCCTCTAACCAGGTCTTCCCAATCCGGTCAGCTCAGCACTAGACAAGAACCGGCTCATGTTAACTAAGAGGCAGCATCCCCAGGCAGCCAAACCCCACCTTGCTTTTCTTTACTTCCTGTGCTTCTGAAATACTTGCCCTTTTGACCCCGAGGGTAAGGCCTGCCAGTGTCTTCCCCTTCCACTCTTAGGGCTGAACAGGAGAGCCAAGTGAAGGCCTCTCTGGGAGCTCGGTCACATGGTGAGGTCAGGAGGAAGCCGACTCTCACTGGGCTGAGGTTTGCAGAGCTGGAATCGCCTGGCAGCTTTCAGAAATACTGACACTTGGGTCCCCCCCAGATATTCTGATTTAGTTGTTCTAGGTGCAGCCTGTCCTTAGGAAGTTTTGAAAGCTCTCTAAGTCATTCTAATGTGTAGCTGAAGTCCAAAACCATCACCTAAAGACATTCTCCATTTCACAATCTGCCTGGGTTCTGAATTGGGGGTTTTGGAGTTCTTCACCAACTATTAGTGCAAAGCTCCTGTAGCCCATTTCACTGTTGTCTTGGGAGTGTTTAGCTCCCTAGTCAAAAGCCCCATGGAGGGGAGGGTAAGTGGTAAATTTAGATACCCAAATCCAACACCAAACAACTAACACTGGTGTTCTGTAAAAAGTATCTAAATGAATCCTTGGGGATTGGGACAAATAAATGTGAAACTTCCAGAGGTGTGCCTGACACTGTATCTGGCAATCAGATGCCACCCCAGATTACCTTCACCCACATGACATTATCCTTTCAACAGCCTGCAGCCAATCAATACACACTGAGCACCTAATTCTAGAGGGTCAGGGAAAACCAGGAGTTTTATCAAGGTGACACTTACTTCTGGGGATCTTGCTGGGGTAAATCTTCTGGCATGGTTTGTATTCATCAGGAGGAGGAAAGTCTTCCACTGAATGGAATGTGAATTTAGACTCGAAGTCATCTGCACACATGGGAAATAACAAAGTTACTCTGGTTACTGTGATGACCCAAGATTTGGTAATTTTCAGGAGCTGAGCCTGCCCAGTACAAGGGTTTTAATGGCAAAGTTATTTACCCTAAGATATCCACCCACTGTCAATTTTTGCTGTTTAGCTAGGACAAAGGGGATTAGGAAAAGTGAAATCAACAGCTTCTCCCCATTACCACTCCAAATTACCTTCACCCACATCTTAACGAAGCTTCTCCAGGGAGCAGTAGTGCAACAGGGAGGCCCAGGGCCCGCAGTCAGAGGTGGTGAACTTGGCAGCAATGAGGGGCCAGCCAGGTCCCTGTGGCCTTAAGTCCTGCCTGAGCCCCTGGGAAGGGCTTTGATGGGGAGGGGAGTGCAGAACAGGTGTCCTCAGCTTGGCTGGTGGGAGGAAGCATGGCCTGTGCCCACTGGGGACCTGGGTTCCCCAAAGCAATCAGGTTCTGCCCAGAGCTCCTGATGGCAGGAGAGGGTGTTGTGGCTCTTTAAAGAATTGAGTCCCTGCTTTGCAATCTTGGTTTTGCATCTGACAGTAGCTCAGCCCATGAGGGGATCTCAAGATTTTAATCACATCTGACCCCAGGTGACTTTCCTTCCTATTTCCATATTATTGCCCTAATTGTCCCTCTGCCTGGTGAGACTTTCATCCATCCTCTCATCTTGTCCAAATCACTCTTTCAGGTTTATGCATGGATTTCTCCAAGGGGATAGACACTCACTCACAGAGTTTAAACACTGGTTTTATTTCTTCTCTCTAATCTCAGTCAGAAGGCTGGAGAGTGGGGTCTGGAACCCTCCCAGAAAGCCTCAAGGGAACTCAAGTTTGCTCTGTGCTACAGTGACCCCCCTCTTCTTGCCCAGTGTGGGCCTGAAATGACAGCTCCACAGACTGGCAAACTCCCTCCAGGGCCAGGGGCACCTGCTTCCTCACCAGCAGCCAGCATGGCAGACGTGGGTCCTGCTTACCCATGATGTGCAGGCTTCCATTCCGCAGCTGACCTCCGGGCTGGGGTGGGATCCAGGCTGGGGCCTGCTGGCTCCTGCTGGAGAGCTCCGTGGTGGGTGATCTTGCAGGGGGTGCTGGGGGTGGATTCAGCTTTCCCCCACTGGTTCCTTAGAGAAGATGACAGTGTATTCAGATCCAGCAATGGGGCTGGCAGAGGCTGTAACCTTCCATGAGATGGAAGGTAGCGGGAACTGCTGGTATCATGCGATGTGGTGCGTAAAAGGGCAGTCTTCGGAGCCAACCTGCCAGGGAGTAAATCCCCGTTCTCCCACTGGTATAGTATACAAAACTCCGTGCCTCAGTTTCCTGATCTGTCAAATGGGAATAATAGCACATACACCCCTAGGGTTGTTGAGAGGGACAAACCAGTTGATTTTAGTGGCATATAGTAAGTGCACAACTAATGTCAGCTGCTGCGATGACATCGATGATGATGGCATCCCTCATCATCAGGTTTGTGGCCCAGAGACAATGAACTGCTGCAGCATCCTGAGAATGGGAAGGGCTCTGCAGGTGAGGCTCACGCAGAGGCGAGGTGAAAAAGCTGTGGAGGGCTTGCCCCTGCCCCTGTGTTCCTGCTCACACTGGCTCCCCTGCATTGCAGACCCTCTTTGCTCCTTCCAGTCTAAGGCTACCCCACCCACCAGGGCTTAGCTCAATCCCACCTACTTCCCAGCCTTCCCTGATGAGCTCTGTGGGAAGCTCACTCTCCTTATGGGTCCTGCTTACCCATGATGTGCAGGCTTCCATTCCGCAGCTGACCTCCGGGCTGGGGTGGGATCCAGGCTGGGGCCTGCTGGCTCCTGCTGGAGAGCTCCGTGGTGGGTGATCTTGCAGGGGGTGCTGGGGGTGGATTCAGCTTTCCCCCACTGGTTCCTTAGAGAAGATGACAGTGTATTCAGATCCAGCAATGGGGCTGGCAGAGGCTGTAACCTTCCATGAGATGGAAGGTAGCGGGAACTGCTGGTATCATGCGATGTGGTGCGTAAAAGGGCAGTCTTCGGAGCCAACCTGCCAGGGAGTAAATCCCCGTTCTCCCACTGGTATAGTATACAAAACTCCGTGCCTCAGTTTCCTGATCTGTCAAATGGGAATAATAGCACATACACCCCTAGGGTTGTTGAGAGGGACAAACCAGTTGATTTTAGTGGCATATAGTAAGTGCACAACTAATGTCAGCTGCTGCGATGACATCGATGATGATGGCATCCCTCATCATCAGGTTTGTGGCCCAGAGACAATGAACTGCTGCAGCATCCTGAGAATGGGAAGGGCTCTGCAGGTGAGGCTCACGCAGAGGCGAGGTGAAAAAGCTGTGGAGGGCTTGCCCCTGCCCCTGTGTTCCTGCTCACACTGGCTCCCCTGCATTGCAGACCCTCTTTGCTCCTTCCAGTCTAAGGCTACCCCACCCACCAGGGCTTAGCTCAATCCCACCTACTTCCCAGCCTTCCCTGATGAGCTCTGTGGGAAGCTCACTCTCCTTTGCCAATACGTTCGTGTACGACCTGTTTGGAAATAACCAGCTGTTTTGGCGCATCAATGTGGACATGCTACTATTCAGCCCACTTCTTGAAATGACAACTGCACCCCTCTTATCTGTGCCAAGATACTAACAATTACTGCATCTTTCTTTCCCCCCTAGTTGGCCTGAAACAGAAATTATTCTTTTTGTTTTGACAGAAAACTAAGTTTCACATCCAAAGACACAATGGAAGAGGCCAGACAAGCATCATGTCCTGGCCTCAAGCTGACTCTGGAGAGGATGGAGGCTCCCGGTGGGGTGCTGCTCCCCATCACCTGCTTCCATCAGAGCTCCCTGCCCCTCTGCCTTCCTTCCTCCCCATCCTCCTTCCTCCTGCTTCCTTGTCTTCCCTTCCATGGTACTGGGGTCCACTAGGATTCACCTGCTCCCACAGCAGACTAAAAGGGCTACAGGGCTGCTGGCCCCACTTCTGGATGAAAAGCTGCCCCTCCACATGATGGGAGAGAAGGAAAGAGCTGCTGAGCCCAGTTACATGCAAAGCACATTTCAGGCACAATTTCCTCATTTAATGGTTGTAATAATCCTATCTGAAAGGTGTTATTGTTATTCCCATTTGTCAAAAAAAACCAACAAACTAGTATGACGTTACACAGGAGTGGGTGGGGAAGCAGAATTTGAATTCAGATCTCTGACTCTAAAGCATTGCTTTTTTCACCGTCCCATGAACATTTATGAATTACAAGTGGCTCACCAGTACTAGTGCTGGCTTTTACGGTGACCAGTCAGTGAAAAGGAGAATGATTAAAGCATCACTTCTTGTGACCAAAAGCCTTAAAAATATTCTTGCCTTTTGTCCCAGGAATTCCCTTTCAGGAACCTATCTTTTAAAAAAATACCCAAAACATAGACCATAATTGCTATAAAAGTATTTCCTGCCATATTATACATAATAACAAAAAATGGAATCAACTTAAATATCTAACACTAGAAATTTGATATATACTGATTATCATGTTAATACACTTATAGAATTGAACAATTTGACAGAATTTTAATATAATATTAAATAAAAACAGAATAGAAAGTTACATATACAAAATAGTATTTTAACTATGTAAATATGTAGATATATTCAGAAAAAAATGAAAGGAAACACATCCAAATATGACAGTTCTTTTTCTAGGTGATGTTATGGGTGATTTCAATTTCTTTCTGTTCACTCTACAATGAGCCTGTATTATTTTTAACTCAAGGAAACTTAAGAAACTTCCTGCATCAAAAGATTTTCTGAAAGGCCTAGAAATATGTGTGTGTGTATATGTGTGGGTATCAAAATACAGACCCTCAGTTTTCTTGAGTCAGGTGGAGAACCTGCCAAAAATAAGCAAGTGCCAATTCAATCTACTGAAGGCGAGTGAAGATTCTGGCTGGGAGCCAGACTGTAATAACTCGGGCAAAAATTAAATAGAAGAGCTGATTCTAAAAACAAACTGCACCCAGAGCCTCCTCCATCCCACGGAGTAGTTTTATAATCTGCATAATGATAGTAGGAATAGATTACCTTTGGCTAGAATTCACTGTTGCAAGGCTTTGTTCCAACAACCCTGGCTGGTGGGAACTATTGCTATCTCCATTTTACAGATGGGGAGAAGGATGCAGAGAGGGACTAGGTTATTGCCCAGGGTCACACAGTTACTAACGGCAAAACAAAGAGGTCAGAATCCTTGGGTTGTGATCTGTGATCTGCATAATAGACAAGTCTTCAGGCTTCCATCACCCTCGGTTTCCTGCGTCTAACATGAATACTTCCAAAAGAAAGTCTTACACAACCAGTTTTTACTATACAAGGGGCACTGAAAAGCTCTGTTTTAAAACAAAATCCCAGATTAGGCCACTCCAAGGCAGTCCCAGGTGATCCTCTGGAGCAGGCCTCTGGCTGGGCTTACCTGGGCCTCGACCAGGCCGCTTCCTCTGCAGGTACAGCTGAGACCCCAAAGGGGTGGCTGGTGCAGGCAAGGCCTGCCCGCTGGGCTTGGGGGGCTGGGCCTGGAAGCTGGGGGACTTAGGGGGCAGTGGGGGTGGGGCTTCACTGCTGTTGTTAGCACCTGGCAAAGGGGACACAGGCATAGAGGGTCTCGGGGTGCCTGAGGCGTGAAGGGGGAGTGGGGGCGGTGGGGGAAGCAGGGCAGGAGGCTCCCGAACATCCTGGCTGGGGCTGACAGCATTCACATTGAGCCCTGGATACCCACAAGGTGGGAGGTGAGGGAGCGGAGGTGGGATGGGCGGTAGGTGCAAGGGGGCTAACTGAGGCCTCACCACCTTGTCACTGAGAACGGAGGCTGGGGGCAGTGGAGGAGGGGTTGGGGGAGGTGCGAAGGGCAGAGGGGGTGCAATCACTGGGGGGTTCCCTTTCGTCGGTGGGCCAGGTGGGGACACCAGAGGAGATTTAATGGCGGAGGAAGGGGGCAGGGGTGGGGGTAAAGGCGGGGGAGGTGGGGGTGGGGTGGGAGGAGGCGGGGCAGGCACGCCCGGGCGAGGAGGGACTGTCCTGGCAGCGCCTTGAGCATCGGAGGCATTGCCTAGCCTGGGAGACGCAGGGGGGTTCAGTGGGCCAGCGACAGTTCTGGTGGGAAGCCGAGGAGAAGGTGCGCGGGAGCCAGGGGCCTGCCCTGTCTTGCCACCTGGAAGTGAGACAAGTTCTGAGTTAGCTCAGCAGAGGAAGGAGAACATCAGGTGTGTGGGTGGCAATGAGGAATGCTTCAGTGACCGTGTGGACTTTCTCTTCTTGCCTGTCCACTGAGAGGCCAGCTGGACCAGGCCCAAGGTCCTCACCAGCAATAATGTGCTGCGCTCCTCCAAGACAGCCAGCTTGGGCCACCAGACTGTCTGCTGTGCAGCACCAGCCTCCATCTTCATTCCAATCCTGCCCTTGCCTGCCAAGGACTCCCAGTCTCCCAGCCCGGGGCCCAGGACTGCTCTGACCTCCTCCATCCTTCCTCATCTCGAGGCTGCCCTCACTCTCTTTAACTGTTACCCACAAGGTCAACCACCTTTTACACCCTAGTTTGAATCCTCAGGTGTGCCAGTCACAGACTCCTTGCTAGTGAGGTTTTCCTTACTCCCAGCATTTTGTAAACAAGGACTTTGTTTCTTCATTGAGATCTGAAAATTTATGATTCCCTAAATATATAGGTAACTCAGAAGTCAGGGGAAGACACTGTGCCTTGGGGGTCTCCAGTCAAATGACCTTGAATCTCACAGGTCCATGGCCTCTGAACATTCAAAGCTTCCTTTTCCAAAGACTTCTGTCCACTTCCAAGGGACTCACTGTCTCCTGGTGATCAGGCTCCCTCATGCATAGATCCTTCACCACATTAATTCCAATTTGAAATCTAATGCTTCCTTTTAATTCAACCACAACAAATTGCTTAAAGTAAGCATTTATGTTTGGTGGACTTCATGGTAGGCTGGGGTGGAGGGTGCCCCCTGGGAGGGGCTTTGTCACTCTCTGCATGCCCTGTCACCATACTGCTAATTCTTACTCTTCTTCCTGTGTCTCTCCCTGTTCACTGCATAGAAGTTGCAACCACTGCTTAAATATGTTTTTGTCCACGCAAGAGGCAAATTAAAAAATTCCTCCCAAATAAATATCGAATGCATTTCCCCCCATTTCAGCACCCCTATATTTTATAACCCCCTTGAAAACATGTGGAAAACACTTGAAAAAAAGGTTGCTTCTCACACCTCTAACTTCTGGGTGCTTCAGAAGAGGAAACACAGCTTTCACATCAGATTGTAAACCCCAGCACCCACTGGCAGTGGTGAGCTTTTCAGTCCGAGTTTGCAGTGTGTGTTTACCCAGCCAGGTGCTAGTTCAACATACCCTCAAGTACTTGATGCCGAAAGCTAGGCTGGCCAGAGCAAGGGTTGGTAGAGGTGGCTGGGGATGAAGCTAAGTGGGCAGGCTGGCAGTGTCAGGCTTTCCGAAGGGGTGACCGTCCTGTGGCTATGATGTGACAGTCACCTGGGCAACACTACTTATTACAGGCCTCAGCTCTGGAATGAATGGCTGTTCTTGAATGGCAGGGTGATTATATCATTATTCCTCTGGTGAGGATTTTCTCTGAGGTAGTCAGAAGAGATAGTGTCTTTGCCATGATGCATCCGCCCTGATTCATTCCCCTGGGGCTCCAAGGCAGGCACTGCCATAATGGCTGGTTCACCGTGACCAGCAGGGGAAGGCCCACACCTGGTCTCTCCAGGGACAGGATCCACCACCTGCAGCTCCAGTGTTACTTAGACGGGAGTCCCGCTCCTCATTTCCACAGCACCCAGAGATGGAGATGGAGGACCCAGGCAGCTCCCTAAGCAAGGCAAAGCCTATTTGCCCATTTGCTGGATGAAGTTTAAAGGGAGAATAGGTTTGAAGAACAGAATCAGCCCAGGAATACCAACTCAGATGTTTTAAGTGACTGAGGACACCATGTATCCAAGACACAAAAACCCTTAAAGTGAGTCAGTTAAAAGTACAGGAGCCTCTGCTTACCAAGCAGCTGGCCTAGCAGGAAATGGGCAAAAACCTGTTTTTATTATAACATGAGCAGCAGAGGCCAGGGTGGCACAGATCTTGTTTGGCTTATGTTCATGCCCGCTCTGGGATGAAGCAGACAGCTGGAAGCACATATTTAAGGTGGGACCCACAGAGGAAAGAGGGGCTAAGGGCCTAGAGCAGGCAAGGAAACCAGGCAGCACAGGGCCAGCAGAGAGCTCTGAGAGGAAGGGCCGAGGGAGGGAAAGGAGGTGGCTTTCCTTTACGACATAAATGCTAGCCTGGGAAACCGAAATAACACAAAAGGAGACCACAAAGCAAGTGGGTAAAGGCCAGCTTAAGTGCATTAAGGAGGCTTTGCTGATATGAAAGGAATCAGCTTTGAGAGCCTGGGGGTTACCAAAAGATCAAATATGTCTTCGCTCTTCAATCTGTATGTTTCCAGAAGACCTTGGATTGCATGGATGTCTCATTATGCATTCTTAAGAAGCCACTGATGTTTACTCATCATACTTTATTTTAAAGATCACTTCATCAGAACCGTAAGGCAGGACCATATTATGACGTTCAAAGACCCTGGGTCCTTTTGCCTTAGTGGGCCTCTTCCTCCTTAAAAGGTATTTAAAATTGCAGTGAAATTTTTTTTTCTGATTTTAAAAGTAATTTTAACATTTTCATTGGCCCCTAAAAGTATTGTAGGCTGTGGACACCGTGCTTGTGGGCCTAATGGCGCTAAGCAGCCAGACTACACACATACACATTCCATTCAACAAACATTTATTACCGCTTACTATGTGCCAGGCATTTTTAATAAAGCAGTGAACAAAACACAGTTCCTGCCTTCCTGGAGCTTACGTTTAGGAGAAGACAGAAAATAACAAGCTAGCCAGCAATATATAATATGTTAGATGGTGTAAGTAAAACAAGAAAAATAAATCAAGATAGACGGGATACTGAATGAGGGGTTGGTACTCATATTTTATAAGGGATGATGAATAAAGCCTCATTGATAGGTTGATCAGATGCCAGTTGAGCAGAGGCATGGTGGAAGGGAGGGAGTGAGCCATGCGGACACCTAAGAAGAGTGCTTCGGGCCAAGGGAGCATTTGGCGCAAGGGGCTGTGGCAGCGACATGCTTGGTGTGTGTGAGAACAGCAGGAAGAGCAGTGCAGTGGAGTGGAGGCAGTGAGCCAGCAGAAGTGGTAGGCGATATGAGGAAAGAGGCAGTGAAGGCCGAAATCCTTTTCTCTGGGAGAGTCCTGAGAGAGAAGAGAGATGCACCGCCTGCTGTGGTCTGTCCTACTCTGACGTGGCACCTAGTCCATGAGCCCACCTACTGTCCTTGAGTTTCCATCCTGCGACAAGCAACATCAGTTACTTCATTACAGATTTTGACCCCCTCTAAAGAGATCAATTCTTGTCTTCACAAACACAGTGGTTCAAACCTCTGACACTTGTGTCCTATTGGAGATAAGTAGGAATACCGTGGGCTTCCTCTGACTGGTCCCTGTTAAAGCCTGACTGGGGGTTACTTATCCTATCTTTATTTCCATGAAGAGGAACGAGTGGAAGTTTTATATCCTAAAGGATGTTTGTTTGATACCACTCAGGAATTCTGAAAAAGAAGAGGGCACCGAGGAATGCCAGCTCTCTTTATTCAGGAAGACCTCAGCTCTTTCTTGCTCGCCAAACTCTCAGCAAAAATAAGGAAATGAAATGGTTCAAGTAGAATCTCAAAGCATCCTAGAGTCTGTGTCTTTGCTGGACTTTATCAATAGGTGACGGCAGCAAATGTACCCCATGATGTCAGACAACCACTGTGCCCATTCATTCAGAAGGTTGGCAAAGACACATGCAGACAATTCAGCACCAGCAGTGTTTGGGGCTTGATATTCTTGGATTAATGAAATTCTTGGGAGTTTATTCACCTTGCTGGCTAAAGAGCTCAGTAATAGGAAAAATACCTTTTGTACACAATAAATATGTATGTACCTAATTTTAATGCAGTGATTTCAGAAACATCTGGCACCCACTAAAACACAAATGGCTGTGACAGACTGGCTGAAAAAATGGCCTCAGTTCTCCACTCATTCCTGATTCCATGATCTTTGAAATATGATTTTGTAGTCCCTTTCATCAAGAGGTGAAATTTCTTTCCCCTTGTCATTGGCTGGCCTGGTTACTTTCTTTGGACAAGACGATGCAGTAGGAGTTAATACTGTGCCAGTTCTAAGAGTAAGCCTCAAGAGACTTCATATATTTCTGTTCTCTCTGTTGGAACACTGCCACCACCATGAAAACAAACCCTGAAGGGTCTGCTAGATACTGAGAGACAAAATGAATCAGTCAGGCCAGTTGTCTCAGCAGAGGCACAAAAGATATAAGAAATATAAGATTAGCAAAGCCATCTACCCAATTTGTAGATACTAGAGGAAGCCCCGGCAGAGACCACTTCCCTAACTTGCCAACCCACAGAATTGTAAACTAAATAAATGGTTTAAAGCCCCTAAGTTTTAAGGTATTTGCTATACAGCAATTCCTAACTGATACAATGGTTGAGAGCCATTAGAACTCATACATTGCCTCTGAATCCACAGTAACATCACTAAAATCTTCTAATGTGATTTATTATATCTATATTATATATGATTAATTAAAACTCTGGTCTATACTTTGTAGTCTGGGCCATAATCACACCACACTAAACACTACACAACACGGCAAATCATTCTTCAGTTATTACAGTAGGATGATTTAAACAGGATAATAATTTACAAGATGGCTTTGAATAATCTTGTGCTTTGGAAACTTCCAGTGCATGCTTCTAAATACATGATCTCCTAATATATGACTGTTCACTAAAACCATGTCACTTCTGGCATGTGAGGATTGCCCAGTTGCTTCTACTACATTAAGGAGGTAAAGATTACAAGGTAGCCAGTCTGAATTCTTTCTTACCTGCTGCATCCCTCTGGCCTGCTGGTCGCAACACAGGAAAGCCACCAGCAAATAGATCTCCCAGGGCTGGGGGTGTGCCTCCACTTCTAGAGTTTGCAGAACTTCGTCCTTCTTTGTTGGTTCCTTTAGAACCTTTAGAGAGAAGAAGCAAGTGGACAAGGACTGTGAGCAGAGCTGAGCAGCTAATTCTCACCCCAGACCATGGTCTAACACTGCACACTGCCTGGGGAAGCCTTCCCATTCTCCCACCTCCAATGTCAATGTTCTCATTGGCATCTTTCCCAGACACCTCTGCCTTGATACCCTGCAGATTCACGCTCAGGCCTGCCTGTTACCCTCTCCAGACCTACCAAAGAACTACCCATGGCTGACAACCCCGAGAAGACCAAAACAAATACTGTCATTTTGTAGATGACAATGAGGGATATTGGTGGCACCTTTCAAGTAAGAAAACCCAAACATTGTAGGTGTAAACTGGGCCTAAGTTCAGCTCAACTGTTATTGTGGAAGGACTTGACAAATTTGAAAACCCATAGATTTAATTCAGTCAGTAATCTTAACTTCTTGTCCACAGAGCCTGGCCCAGAACCATAAACAGGAAGAAAAGGTCTGGAATGATTTGTGCTTTGACATATTCCTTCTCTGTTTCCCCCCAGCTCTCATTCCACAAGGCCTGCAGAATTTTCTTCTGTGGAAGAGAAAATTCATGAACCCCTAAGGTGAGGTGTCACTAATTACAGCCTCCCAGGTATGTGTAATTTCCAGCTATATAAAATGAGCAGACATTCAGCTTAGAGAAAAATTCCTGGCAGACTTTCACCACCTGAAGCTAGTATGCATGGAAATTAAGGTACAGTGCCCTCCGGTTGGTAAATATGGCCAAATAATTCTAAGTGTTAACATTATATATTACCTACTCACTGGAATACTAAGGAAGCAAATGTTTCAATAAATGGACTTAGCTGTTAATTGGGCTTAACCGATTAGTGGGTTTAACCAAAAACTAAATTTTATTGTAATTATTGAAAATATTTCTTATAATAATTTGTTTATAGTTGTGTATTAACATATATGACTGTATACTAGATATAATTATAGTTTTAGGACTATCTTTGAGAATGACTACCATGCACATCACTGAAAAATAGATGAAGACAGAGTAATATCTTACATTGATAGATAGATACGCACCTGTTATTTCAACCTTCAAAATACTAATAAAAAAAAAAGATATTCCTATCTCCCCCATTTTGCAGATGAGCAAACATGGGCCTCAGAGAGGTTCCCTGATTTGCCTGGTAGCAGAATCAGAACTCAACATGGGTCGTATGGCCCAAGCACAGAGCTCCTTTTACTGTTATCACACTAGAAGACATAGAAAGCTGCAGTCATATGACCCTGTGAGATAATTCTGAATAAATCTTCCTCTTTGTGAACAACAAAAATTTTGCATATTTAAATTTGAGACTTTAACTTTTCTCTCATAGAGTTGAAGGACTAGGCTGCCATAGGGTAACTGAACTTTAACTGTTACTGCACAATGGCTAAAAAAAAAGTGGCACAGCCAGGCAATGAAATGCTATTTAACAATAAAAGGGAGTAAAATACTGGTAAATGCTACAACATGGATGACCCTTGAAAACATTAATACTAAGTGAAAGAAGCTGGTCACAAAAGGCCATGTATTGTATGATTTAATTTACATGAAATATCCAAAATAGGCAAATCCATAGAGATGAAAAATAGATTTAGTGGTTGCCAGGGGCTGGGGGAGGAAGGAGAGGGGAGTGATTGCCAGTGGGCCTGGGGCTTCCTTTAGAGATGATGAAATGTTATGGAACCAGAGGTGATGGTGGCAACTGCATTGTGAGTGTGGAAATGTTACTGAATTGGACATTTTAAATAGTCAACATGGTGAATTTTATATTATGTATTTTATCCCAATTTTTAAAAAGTTACCTCACCATGAGGCCATGGGTGTTTTTTTTTTTTTTGGTCTGTTTTGTTTTGTTAAGCATTAGAAGAGTGATGAAAGATACGCTATAAACCATCTGCAGACCTGAGACCTGGAAGGCAAGTTCTGATTCTCACCCCCATGTGACCTGTACAGTGAGCAGGTCTGATGGCCCAATGTGTGTCCTGGGTAACAAATGTGGCCCCTGTCCCAAGCAAGTCAGGGGTGTCTGGCTGAGTGGGCCTCACGTGGCCAGCCCTTGGCTCACAGCAGGCCTGGCCTGGCTGCTCACTTACCCTCGATTTGGGGGGCGCTTCGGTCATTGATCTGAGTGACTTTTCGTAGCAGGGTTCCTTGCTGGATATCAGCCAGCAGCGCGCTCCGATTGCTGGGATCTGCCTTTCTCAAGCTGGAAGTGTCTGGGCTTACCTAGAAGGGAATAGGAGGGAGCTTACTGTAATGCCATGTAACTTTGCCGATAAGCCAGATGTCCTGCTGTAAGGTTTTCCTCCTCTGATTCCGTCTGCCTTGTTTGCCTTACCCTGCACCGTTCCCAAGGGCAATCTCACTGATGCAATTACCTACAGGTGTCTGTGGAGAGATTCTGGGCCCTGCTTACTCCTCTCCCTGGGAACCTAGAATGGACTCTTTCTTGTCCTCAAACTGCCATAAGTCTTACTTAAGGAGCCCTAAATCACAGTCCCTCTTCCTGACTCCTAGGTAAGCCACTCACACGCCCCTGGGCTTCTGTGTGTTCCTGGCCCCTGCTCCAGGTTCTGAATGGTCACCCTGCCTGCTGTGCCCAGTTCCCTCTTGGACCAAATCCTTTGCTGACTCAGACCTAGCAACAGGAGTTGGTCCTGTCTCCCTGTCTTGCCCTGGGCTATTCTTCTGAGTGGTACGAAGTCATGCTCAGTCCCCAATGCTCACCATCTCCCTGCTACTGGGTGGCCCATTACATCTCAAAATTGAAGCAGATTCAGGTTTTGAGGGAGGGATGGTGGCCTTCATGCCCTCATGAAGCAAAGGGGAGAACTGGGGAGCTCAAGAGAAACTGGGGCCCAGAGGGGTCAGAAAACTAAGAAAGGGAGGGCAGGGGATTACAGTGAAGGTTTAGTGAGCACCTGTTCCTCTGGGCCTGGGTGCCTTACGTTAATCCTCACTGCACCTTGTGAGTTTTAAGTGAGGTTGCTCTTACTTTACAGATGACAACACTGAGATTATGCAATCATCTGTTCAAGGTCAGAGGATTAAGTTAAAACCCAGATGTGCTGAATTCCAAAGGCCATGTGCTTTTCACTTTGCAACACTGTGGCTGTCAAGGATATGTGCCACAGTCAGGATAAATATCCTAGATACTGCTAAAATGCTTCATAAATATGTTCATGAGAACAATTTTGTCCTAACACTGCAAGTAACACTGAGACCCAACTGTTCCACTTCTGTTAAAAACAAGACAATAGGACTCAAATGGAATCGGTATGCTAAGCCCCAGGTCATCAAACTAAGACTTAACACTTATCCTTAATAGGATCAATTCTCCCAGAAATGGAATGTTAATTCAGTCAATCAGGAATTTCCTGGCTAGCACTCTCTGCCTGACAGACTCCTGCCATCCCTAAGGAGAGTGACCTCACTACAACCAGTCCGCTGTTTGCTAGTGTACCTTCCTTGTCCTGGGCTCCTCTGCTTATGAAGGTCTTTGGTTTCATATAACTCCTTGGAGCTCCTTTCTATCTGCTAGATGGGATGCTGGCCGATTAATGAATTGCTGAATAAAGCCAGTAAGATCTTTAAAATTTGTCCAGTTTAATTTTGTCTTTAACACTCTCACTGTAGCTTGAGCTGACACCACAGGGGTCTCCATGGGCTGTAAGAACCAGGGAATACCAGAAAGAACATATGGGGGCTGGTGGCAACGGGAGGGGATGTGTAAGCAGAAGATACAGTCAGGGGTGTCCTCTGCAGTTACAAGGTTCATGCCATGTGAACTGAGCTGGTTAAACAGTTCTCACAGCAAGAAATATTTCTCACCTGCTGTACAGGGAATACCATGTCTTTGTTTTCAGCATAAACATCACAACTTTGAAGGCCTTTTCTGACCCCCAATCTAAATAAGGCCACCCCATATTCTCTCTTAGGATACCATATTCCTTCTCCCTCTTTAACTTTCATCACAGTGTATACATTTATATTTACCTTTCCTTGTGGAAAATTTTCATTTGTGGCTATGAGTTTAAGGTCCATCACCTTAACAGGACTTTTAGGATAAGGGTCTTGGTGGTTTTGGTCGCCAATATATCTCCCGAGAGAACAGGACCTGGCCCCAGATGGGCTCAGTAACTACTTACTGGGTGAATGAGTGCATGAATGAATGAGCAAATATATGAACCAGACCCAGAATGTATAATGCACTGCTCTTCCCCCAGGGCATACCTGTGTACCGGGGAGACAGAACATGCATGCAAGGAGTTAAGCCACTAGATAATGCAGTATATGACCAGCGTCCACATTCCCAGAGAGGAAGACCAAGGAGAGTTCAGAAATGATCATATTAATCTGGCTGAGCAGGCTGCAAGGAAGCTATGAGATCTTAAATGGTCCTTTAAGTGTAGATAGGATTTACAACTCCTTGCTATAGCCATTTCTCTTCAGGAAAGGACAAACCAATATTGCTGACTAGACCATCAGAGACTTCCAGTGCTACAGACTAGAAACAAACACAATTGCGGTTTTAGCTAGAATGTGCTGTGGGAACATTTTCACTGGCTGACTCTCATTCACTGATGATACATCTTACATAGGCTCTGAAGGGAACAAGCTTCAGAGTCAGGTTTCTGACCCTGAAAATGTGCTTTTTGAGCCTTTGAGAAGGGCTCATGATGATGGTCAATAACAGAGCTCTGAGCACAGGGCCCCAACCCAATGATGCATGTTTTTTAGAAACACATGGATGAATGCACATATAAAGCCGTGTACTTCCCACACAATGCTTTAAAAAAGTCTCTCTATATAAACCATTAATGCCAGTAAGTCATTTTAAACTGCAAAGTTTAAAGATTTTTAAAGTCCCCTGTCATTTTATTATTAATAATAGAAATGCAAGGCCAACAGAAATAGAATCTTAGCTTGAGAGTATGAAAATTTTTGCAAATATCTGGCATTACAATCTCAGACATGTACTTTGGTCATGGATCAGGGGGACAAAGTACCTTGTAATTTTCTTCTAGTTACAAGATAACACAGTGAATTCTAATGATATCCATGGCCCATGTCAAGTGGTAGGCATGGGAAAGGCCAGGGTTAGAATAGTGCCTTCTTCTGGGTAAGAATGCAACTGGGAAGATAAGTAAACTCTCTCCCTAACAGTCCCGGGAGAAGCGGGTCATCTCACCTAATTTAGACTCGATTTTTAAGTTCATTACCAAAATGCATCCCCATCTCCTTGACCTTACCCATCCACAGTTAATCAGGTGACTGCTGTGAAGAACGTTGTACGTCCTAGGAATAATGATTTCAATTTGAGTACTTACTTAGTACAGACCTCAATGCAGTCTTGACTATTCCACATGACAGATTTGTTGACATACATCTTCCAAGTCAACAGGAAAATATGGCAAGTCACGTCATGTTTACAGGATGCCGTGCAACTTGCCAGACTAAACTGAACGTTCCTTCTTGACTCCTGGGCCTTCTTTCCTGCTCCACTGTGTGTGCTGAGAATTTTCCACTAGAGGGCTCTCCCTCCCCTGATATCAATAGGGTATCCTTCAATCCTCTTCTGTGAGGTAAAGGATAACTTCATGGCTAAGGTGACCACATATATTTAGGCTTAATGGGTTTTGTTAAAAAGGGTATCTGGCATATCCATTTGCACTTTGGAAACTGTGTTTCACAGTGACAGTTTCTATTTCATCTGCAATATTTATTAGCAATTCAATCATAATTTGTTTCTTAAAAATCTACAACCTTTAAAAGTCTTGTTACTGTGGTTACAGGATATAAAAAACAGCGAGGAGAAGATTTCCAAATATTCACTGGTCTCTTATTCTATGCAAATCCTGATTATTGTTAACATTTCTAAGAATATAATCAAGAGAGAGAAAGCTACTCCTGGACACTTTTCCCACGGCAAATATATTCACCAAACATACTCCCCCCCAGACCCCCTCCAGTCCTGTCCTCACCCCAACCTCTCATACACAAAAAAAGAGAACAGAATCTTGCTTCTGAGTTTGCTCTTGTTCTTGCTTAACATTGTTACTGAGTGTGACAATTTGTTGAGTTCCACAAAGTGTTTGTTGACTCAGTTCTCCTATAGCAAGCTTCAAATGAATAGCTTGGATCCTAAAATGAATGCAACGTAGCTGCATAGTAATGCAAATTAGCCCATCCTCCAGCCAGGAAAAACCAGAGCGTACCAGTGAGATTAGAGAAACAAAAATCAAAGGACAGTAACAGAGCTAGTAGTCCTGAGGGGTCAGTCCTTCTCTCTTGAGCAACTATAAAAGGTTTGGAATATCCATTTGTTCTTTCAACAGATGAGTCCGGCAGGTTTCAAGGTAGTCTGAGGGGCAGGGATGGCAGTCTAGCCCAGATCAAAACTTTGAAATGCAGTCCTCCTGTATTTGTCACCCTGCCACCCTATGTCCTTACTGCATCTGTCTCATTGATACTGGTTTCTGTGAGGAAACACTACTGATAACCTGGTCAGTTAATTCAAATCCACCAAGTCATTTTCCTCTAGGACAATCTATGCCCTATTGATTTTGTACAATGTCAGCCTTGCAGCCTTGTAAAGGTACCTTCTTCAAGGTGGCTGCTAAACCTAAATGAGTACTCAGGTTTCCAGGCACACCACCTGCCCCTTGCTCTGGCCCTCAAGCCTATTCTACCTCCTCCAGACCTGAGGGCAGGCTGGTCTCAGCAGCCTGGGTATTTGCGTTTCATTGCCTAATCTGAATCCCAAGGACAGCCAGAATGGCACTGCCTCCCTCCTGCTGCTACCGTTTTCCTGCAGGAGAACACAGAGTCTGGGATCCAAGAGATAGGAAAAATTTTCAGAGAAAATGAACTCAGGCCTGACACAACGTTCCTTGTACTCCAAATGTGTGTAAGTCAGGCTGTTACAGAAAGAGGTGCTAGGGGACAAGCACTGCCTGCTTATAACCTTTTGTCCCAGAATAACCATGTGTCCACATGACTCCTTCCTTCAGGCGGAATGCTATGTGTGCGGTATGTTGATGGCCTGGGGCTGGCCAAATCCAGGCCTGCCTTATCTCTGGAAACATCTTATTGGGAGGCAGACCCCTCTGACCAAAGCGTTGTTCCTTGGGGCACTGGTGGCATAGGAATGAGCCCTCCAAGCAAGGCACATAGTCCCTGTCCCCTTGTCCCTGGCATACACAGTCTGTCCCCTCACCCCATGT